CCCTTCTCTATCTCTATGAGTCCTGTAGGAAATTTGGGTTTATATTTTTTTTGTTTTGTGTGTATGTGTGTGTGTGTGTGTGTGAGTGTGTGTGAGTGTGAGTGTGAGTGTGAGTGTGTGTGTAGTGTGAGTGTGTGTGGTGTGTGTGCGTGTGCGTGTGTGTGTGTGCGTGTGCGTGTGCGTGTGTGTGTGAGTGTGAGTGTGAGTGTGAGTGTATGTGTGTGTGTGTGAAGAAGGCGCTGTTAGAAGCTCCTGTAGGGCATTCGGTAACGAACAAGACCAAACTTACCAGGTGATATTGCCACACAGGTTGTCTTGCACGGCGATCGGGAACCACAGCGTACCGGGGAGCTGCACGGCCTACCTGGAGTGCGCGGAGGGCGGTGACGGAACCCCGAGGCCCAAGTCGTGTGGATTCCGTCAGGCATATTCCCCGCTCCTTGGGCGCTGCGTCGAGGAAACGCTCGTGAAGGTGAGACTCCTGTAGGAAACCTAGATGCTCGGAGTCCCCTGTAGGAAGCCTGGGCGCTCAGGGGCTCCTGTAGGAAGCCTGGGTCAGAGATAGGCGCTCAGGGGCTCCTGTAAGAAGAGAGGCTCCTGTAGGAAGCCTGCGTGCTCAGAGGCTGGCTAGGAAGTGCTAGGAAGGAAGCCTGGGTCAGAGTCTCCTGTGGTGCTCAGAGGAAGCCTGGGTGCCTGTTGCTAGGAAGGTAGGCTCCTGCTACTTTGTAGGAAGCCTGCGTGCTCAGAGGCTCCTGTAGGAAGCAGGAGGCTCTGTAGTGCTAGGAGGCTCCTGCTCCAGAGGCTCCTTAGTACTTTGTAGGAAGCCTGCGTGCTCAGAGGCTCCTGTAGGAAGCCTGGGTGCTAGGAGGCTCCTGTAGGAAACCCGGGTGCTAGGAGGCTCCTGCAGGAAGCCTGGGTGTCCAGAGGCTCCTGCAGGAAGCCTAGGTACTTAGAGGCACCTCTTATGTAGGAAGCAGAGGCTCCTGTAGTGCTAGGAGGCTCTAGGATGCTAGGAGGCTCCTGCAGGAAGCCTGGATGCCTGGGATCTGAGTCTCTTGTCGGAAGCAGGATGATTGTGATGTTTTTGGTGTAGATGGGTATTTATTTATCTATTTTTTGTAGAGGGGGCGCTGTGGGTAAGATGAAATGATGGGAATGGGGGAATTTCAACGAATGGATGGAAAGAGGTGGAAAGTACTCCAAAAATAATAAATAATTTAGAATACTGGTTTCTCGGTTTGTCTTCGAAGTGTTTGTCTATCTGCGTCTTTATCAGTATCTCTTTCTCTCTCTTTCACACACATGATAATATGTAAGTGAACGTCATGGGTATTACTTTTTCTATTTGTTTCAAAGGAGAAAATCGTTGCTCTATATTCACTGTCTTTTCCCTTGATTTTTAGGGTTGCAATGTGACGTTAAGGTTGTCCGATCGAAAGCAGATCCGCGTGCCTTCCCTGGACCCCGTCTGCGCGGACGCTCCCAACCAGTACCTTTGCGCCAATTGCAAAACGCTGGTGAACTGTATCAACGGCAAGGCATTTCCCTCGGTGTGTGGAAGCGGCGACTTCTGCTACAGCGACAACGAGTCCTTCGGCAGCAGCGTCTGTTACCCTGGGCTCCCAAGGTCCTGCGTGTGTGACGAGCGGGAAGTATTCTACCAGGACACTTACGACAGAGGGGCGTTTTTCCTTTGTGATAAGTACGGGGAGACGCACCTCCACCGATGCCCGGAGGGACAGGTTTTCGACGAGGAGGAAGTGCAGTGCAAGAGCGCGTCGGGTCTGCCTGCCTGCGTGACTCCGGGGAAGTTTGCTGTGCTCGAGGACTGCCGGAGGTACTATGCCTGCATCGTCACTGAGGAGGGGTGGCTGCAGCACGCGTTCACCTGCCCGCAGAGCAACGGCCCTTCCATGTACAACGAGGAATCGGGGCGGTGCGAGGACCCCTGCAACTGGCGCCTCCCCGACTTCGTTTGCGAGGACGAAGGTAGATTCGCAGACCCGATGGACTGCCGGAGATTCTTCGTATGTACGTTGGACGCGGAGTCGGGCGATTTCCGACAGGTGTCCCGACAGTGCCCCGAAGGATACGAGTGGGAGCAAGTCGTGAGGGATGGCACGGGTCGGTGCGTCCCCATGAGCTCCGAAGAGTGCAAACCGAACTACGTCACACAGTGCCACATACCTCAGAATCTCTGCGCCTAAGAATGTATTTCATGATCTATTTATCTTTATATTAATTAATTTCTGCGCGTATGATCAATCAATCTTGATTGTTAATTTCTGCGCGTGAGAATATGCCTCACGATTGATCAATCTTTATATTTATCAATTTCTGCATGTAAGAATAATCGCATGATTTTGAACCAAAGAATCTGGCCGAGGACTTCAGGCAAACGGCACACACTTGGGCTACAGGGTATGTCATATAAAGAAATACGTCTATAATCATAACTATTTATAAACACACACCTGCGCACACCGGACATACGAACACCCACACATAAATAAGTACACTTCATATGGGATTCGATCTACACGAAATCCTAAATCACCCAATTTGTTGACTTTTAGCCATGGCAGTTTGTAATTTGTGTTTATAGTTTAGGATAACGGCTGCAAGGATAAAACATTGGCCAAATACACACAATAACAATTTTAGAATTGCCATTTTGAAATTTTGAATTTCAGTTTGTCGTGTACCTATTTGCTTGTTATTTATTTATTTATTTATATTTTCCTGATAGTAAACATTATTATCAAGATATTAGTTATCACTTCTCCCTTCAATATATATATATATATATATATATATATATATATATATATATATATATATATATATATATATATATGTATGTATGTATTTATAAATACACATACTTTCATACATACATACATACATACATACATACATATACATATATATATATATATATATATATATATATATATATATATATATATATATATATATATGAATGTGTATACTTTGTGGCATATATAGGTGTATGATGTACATGTACCTGTTTGATAATGCGAATTGGAAGTGAACTACAGATACTGTTCATCAAGCATGATACATGGAAATATAAATACTCTTTATATACATCTTTATCCGGATATTCTGTTACGAGAGATATATGTTCAAGACTGAACTAAAATACCACATATATAGAACTAAGCAAGATCATAAAAAAATTAACATGAAGAATCTCATGATCATTAATAACATATCTTAAGAGTCGGAAAAGAAGAGAAAAGAAGTAATGATTTAATTCATTTCATATTGTAATTACGTTGGGGAGTGAAATGAAGACCTCAGAATTACTCATTAGGCGATACGCATAAACAACAGAAATAACAGGTTTTGTTTTTGTCGTATTGTAATCAGCCGCTTACCAGACTGACAATTATATCGTACATTTGGGAAAGTATTTTCATGTTGCGAGTAACTTGGCGGGGAACATAGACTAGAGCTTCAAATAACAGTAATGATTCCATACTTTTTATGTATAATTTTCTATTGTTAAAAGAGAGTGTACATTAACGTGTACACATCCTCACAGTACTCGTGATAATTGAGAAGGGGTTAGTACATAAAGTAAGTTTCCTCAGCTTTGTAAAATGCACTCACTGTATATTTAAGTCCTTTAGTGCCTAACATCTAAAAAAGAAATAAATAAGTAAAAATAAGAAAAAAATAGAAATAAAAAGAATCAAAACAGATCAATATGAATAATGAAAAGAAAAAAAAGGCTTCATTGCTTTTATTGTATAATTATACCATATATGACGCTAATATAACAAAATTCATGGACAAAAAACAATGCTATCCCCTTCTTGTCAGTTTTTTCAGGTCCAAGTTCACACTATAAGGTCAGCGAAAAGGGAAACGTTATAATGTACACTATAAACGCGGTCTTGTGTTGATTACGAATTCCATTATTTATAACAAAACGCGTTTTATTATTAGAAGGTGTGGGAAATGTTTTCTCACGGTATGAACCCTTTAACACTAAATAGTAATCCTGAAAGGAGTCTAAAATAACCGTGAAGTAAATATATGAAGTAAATATGGAAAGGTACATTAGTATCTCTTTTTTTCTTTACATGAATAGTTACATGTTTGTCGTTTTATAAGCGAGGTGTGGTGGCGTTTAAAGACATCTTTATTAAATTTATTATTGGCATCAATAACAGGTTCAGGAAGTACCATAGATATCAAACAGATGAGTAAAGTATAGTGGTTGTAATTACATAATGTAATTCTATAAATTTAGTCGCATATTTGCTTTCTTGCACCAACCCAACTGCCTTTATACAATGTCCGTTCAGAGCACATATTTATTTTGTATCCCGATATATCTTTAACATCAAAGGGCATTGTTATATTTAACCAAGGCCAGGTTCTAGTCTAGATAACAGAGAATACCGAGGCAGAATGCTAGTATTGATCCGCGAGTTTAAAATGGGCATATATTTTTCTAGTTATATTTGCCCGCTTAGTTAGATCTAGACAGAGGAGCAGAATGCTAGTATTGATCCGCGAGTTTAAAATGGGAAAATTAGCGAAAAAGCAGAAATTTACCTGCCGCACCCAAATAAGTATAATGGAACAGTCGCATTTTATTAATGGTCGATTGTCAACCAAAGCAATAAAAGAATAACAAAGAAAAAGAAAAAAAAAAAAAAAAAAAAAAAAAAAAATGCATATATATATATATATATATATATATGTATATATATATATATATATATATATATATATATATATATATATTATATATATATATATTATGTCTGTATTATGTATATAAATTAGATTATCAAAATTATTATCATGATATTTTAGGATTATTATGTATAAGGAATAGATAAATGAATGAATGTGTAAATAATATATGTATTTGCCTATGTCATTAATATTATTACAGACGGAATCTGCGTGGAATGCATCTCCAGCAAACTAATTAACTATCACTATTATCTTGATCGCAAAGACCAATGCATCTGTTATATTGTCACGTGATTCATTAAACAAATTCCTGAGAACGCTGAAACACGGTTCTGGTCTCCGTGCGTTTGTGGGCTGGCTTATCAGTTGATTTATTATATTTTTACGGACGGTGAAAGACACCTTTATATATATATATATATATATATATATATATATATATATATATATATATATATATATATATATATATATATATATACATATATATATATATATATATATATATATATATATATATATATATATTATGTATGGTATGTATATATACACACACATACGCGCGCGCACTCGGCTTTCATCTTCTTTTTTGATGTCTATATATCTATTTAAACCTATAGATTTTGTTTTTCTATATATATATATATATATATATATATATTATATATATGTGTGTGTGTGTGTGTGTGTGTGTGTGTGTGTGTGTGTGTGTGTGTGTGTGTGTGTGTGTGTGTGCGTATGTGTATGTATGTATGTATGTGTATATACTGTTTTTATCTTCTGTTTCAATATATATATATATATATATGTGTGTTGTGTGTGTGTGTGTGTGTGTGTGTGTGTGTGTGTGTATGTGTGTGTGTGTGTGTGTGTGTGTGTGTGTGTGTGTGTGTTGTGTGTGTGTGTGTGTGTGTGTATGTGTGTGTGTGTGTTGTGTGTGTGTGTGTGTATACATATATTATATATTATATATATATAATATATATATATATATATATATATATATATTATATATGTGTGTGTGTGTGTGTGTGTGTGTGTGTGTGTGTGTGTGTGTGTGTGTGTGGTGTGTGTATGTGTGTGTGTGTGTGTGTGTATACATACACACACATATATAAATATGAACATAGTAATATATTGTCTGCATGCTATATGTGTTAGTAAGCTTCCCTTGAGCAATTTGCTGTCCCGTCTAATGAAGGAATCAACGAGTCTAATGATTTGCTCATCTAATCTATTCCTATTCTTGTACGCAAGGATGTAGGAATATATTGCATTGATGCTGTTCCATTTATTGTATTTCGTATACAACAAAAATGATCAGAAAAGGAATCTTGCTTATGTATCTCCATGGCGGAAGATTATATGCTATTCCTTGTTGTAACTTGGAAGAACACACGGCCGTTACTCTGCAGGTCGTTCGCACACAAACCTACAACGAGAAAAGGGGATGGAATTACCACGGGAAAGAAGGCAGACGAAACAGGCATGCACACACTTGTAACAAAATATGCTTTTGTAACGAAATGTACAACTCTTCATATGTACGTGGCAAAGTAGTCATAAGAAATACTCCTAACTACATTTATAATATATGATACAATGTATAAATCATGTTATTGCAGGTAAAGACATGAACTTACGCCTTGTTCGAGGAGCAGCCCTCATCGTTCCAGAGGTAGCCGTACTCTTTCTTCATCTCCACACAGTCCTCGCCCACGCCAAAGGTCAGGAAAGCCAGGTGGTTATTAGGCTCCCCTTCCTGCCAGCTGGTGTAGAAAATATGTCCATAATGAGAATGCTTACACATCAGAGCCCAAGAGATCTGTGATGCGTTTCGGTTATATCTTCTTTGAAAATAGAGCTATTCCAATTTCATAAGGATTAGAACAATCACAGAATGACACGTGGATAGAGAGCGAGATTACCTTGTATAGTTAAACTGACACTCGTCCTCCCATTTGAACTCGTTTTCAGTGTTTCGATCGCTAAGACCAATCCAGGCACTGCGGGTCAACAGCCCTGAGAACAAGAGAGGAAGAGATTCGATATTACTCGCAGACGAGGAAAGGAAGCAAAGTCAATATGAGAAGAGGAGTCAGCTGATGGCCCTGCAGGAGGCCATCGCCCGGACGAGACTTACCGCTCACGAACGCCTGCTCGTCCTCGCTGGTGATGGAGGCCAGGACGCCGCCGAGACCGATGCAGCTGTCTTTGGCTTCAGTCCAGGACGCCGTCGTTTCACTCACCAGGTAGCAAGACAACCCGTAAATCTCCCATCCATCCTTACAGGTGGGTGCTGGAGTGGTTGTGGTTGTCGTGGTGGTGGTTGTGGTTGTTGTGGTAGTAGGTGCTGGATCAGCTTGGCGACTACACATAAATCTACGCAAAAGATTAAACATTATTCAGTCTTTATTCCCTTGCACACGATCAAAGAAGATACAGAACTGGAGAATCGTTATTCTTGAGGGATTAAAACTAGACTAAATTAAAACACAGGTACTCACAGCTTGGTGTCTTCGCAGTGAGCATCATTCCAAAGGTACCCGACCTGCTGCCGCATCTCGACGCAGTCTTCACTATCGCCGAAGATCCAGAGACTTCCCGAGTTGCTTGGTTCACCTTTCGCCCACCTGCGATTGGGAGAAGGAAGACTGGTAACTGAATGACCTTTTTTTATCTATTTAACCAGATATGTTAAGAGCAATGAACACTAAGAAATCAAGTAAGTTACTATATAATTAGAAACATGCTATGAAT